TTTCCACCATTTGAAGTGTCCTGATTTATGATTTTTTTTATTCTGTTACTCTAATAACTCCATGAAACTGTTATTCTGGTCATGGTGTGTGAAGGCCCAAATTACTCAGGGTCCGAGAATCTGAGCTTGCTTTACCCAGCAGGGCTGCATAAGGGGATGATTTGACCACAGGCATGGTTACCTGGTGTTTGGAAGTGTCTACACTTGGCTGTGCGGTGTGCTTTGATCTAGCAAGGGGGAGGTCTTTTGCCCCGCCCCTTGTCAAAGTTATAAAATGTTTGAATAAGCAGAAAAGGCCACTGGGTATTGACCCAGGTCCTCCCAAAGCTATCCTGTGTTTCTGTCTTTCTCCTCTTCGCTATCTTTTTATCTAATATTTTCTTATCCCTTTCTCTTCCTCATAGGAACCCTGGGGAAAGGCGGGAGCTGGCTCCCACAGATGGCGCCAGAGCTTGGGACGTGGATGCAGAGGACATAAGGGAGAGTAGGGAGCACAGTGGAAGCAGCCGGACACGCCTGGTTATGAATTATGAAAAGGTTAGGCTGTAGATGAAATTCTAAATGGTCTTATTAAATAAGAAACACAGAGCCAAATGAAGAGTTAAAAGCCCAGAGATCGAGCAGTAGCCAAGAGCTAAGACCACCTTATCTTACCACTTGCTGCTGCCCTTCCCCTGAGAGAGAGAGACCTTCTTCCTGTGTCCTGTCTTTTCATTGCCTTTCTGTTCTGCCTTCTCATTGGTTCTAACCCAAACCACATGACTTCCTCATCACTGCCTGTCTATACAGACCTCCAGGTCTCTATGGTGGGTACTGAGATTAAAGGTTCAGGTCACAGCTTAGCTGTGTCCTTGAACACACAGAGACGCTGCCTAACATGTGATCCGATTAAGGGCGTGTGCCACCACTACCAGACTTCTGCTTAATGGCTTGCTCTTAGCTCTGATCCCCAGGCAACTTTATTAACATACAAATAAAATCACATTTCGGCACAAATAAAATATCACCATATTAGGCGGTGGCATTTTATTCTTTGGGAGCAACAATTGTACATAGATAAAGCAGAGCGGCTAAAAGTTAAGCTGAAGCAAGTAATAAAAGTTAAGCTGCAGCAAGTATTTCTCTGTCTCTGTCTCTGTTTCTCTGTCTCTCTCTCTCTCTCTAAAGTTGTAAAAAAAAAGTTTGGTGAAGTTTAGTTTGAGAAGTGTAGGCTTAGGTGTATTAGGGTAGAATAAGCTCTAGGTCTAGGAATATGGTGAAGGTTTAATATAAAATAATGTAGGGTAGAGTAGGCCCCCCACCCCACCCCCACAGCCCAGACGGGACCTTGGACACACAAAGCAGCGTCCAGGACCTAGCAGCCCTTGCGAGATTAGCAGTCCCAGCGGCTTCAGAAGCTTCAGAAAGCAGCAGCAGCAGCAGCAGCAGCAGCAGCAGCAGCAGCAGCAGCAGCAGCAGCAGCAGCAGCAGGCGGCAGAGTTTGGGCGGCTGCCCCATCCAGGGATCAGCGGCCGAGACCCATGGGCCGTCATAGCTTCCCAGGCAGCTGACACCAAGAGACAGCGTGAGCAGCGAGGGTCTGCAAGCTTTCTGCCAAGAAGCAGCAGTGGCGAGGAGCCAAGCAGAGATGCCACACCATGAGAGAGGTGAACGGCAGGCAGCAGTGGCAGCGACTTGGAGTGGAGCACCGAGAGCCAGAGCCCCTGGAGAGGCAGAGAGCCGAGTGGGCAGCTGGAGAGTGAGAGTACAAGGTGCTGTGTGAGAGACAAAGCCTCCAGAGAAAGATGCCTGCAGGGCAAACACAAGGAGGGCCAAAGAACAGGTGCCTTTGAGTCTGCCAGTGTGTTGGGGACGCAGAGGTAGGCCCGTAAGCAGCAGTGAGCTGGGGAAGCCCTGCAGAGGCCGGGGAGCATCCTAGGGGCGGAACCATGGCAGAGGCGGTGCAGGAACCAGGGAGGAAACTGTTGGCTGATGAACCAGGGTGGGATGAACGCTGGTGTGGAGAGATCAGTGCAGGTTTTGAAATCTTCCCTGCAATGAAATGTACAGGGTCTGAGTCCCTAGCAGCAGTACGCCACAGCAGTGCTCCAGTCTGAATGGTTGAGATGCGCTGAAACTCAGGCCAGTCTGAGGTCCCAGCAGCAGAGTAAGGTGGAGCTGCCCCGAGGCAGAACAGAGGCTTCCTAGACTCTGAGTGCTTCATGCAAAGACCACCAGCAGAGCAGATAACAGAGCCAGGAGTGCAGCAACGTGACTATAGCTTGAGGTGATTGAGAGCCTCAGGGACTCAGGACACAGGGGTCCTGGCTGGTTACGGGAGGCACAGATAGACCAGGACTGTGAAAGCCAGCAGCTAAAGGTGCAGTTTCTGTTTGCTGGCTGTCAGAAGGTCTCTTTTGAAGAGGATTCTGCACCAGCTAGCTATTGTGGTGCTAATTGTGGAATTAATAGCTTTTGCCCTGGAGCAAAATTGCCTTAAGGGAAGGCTACGGATTGCAAAGCACAGCTGAGAGCTGAGAACAAAAGTTTCAGAGACTAAACTGAATTGTTGCATTCAGGGGAATTGCAAAAAGTTTTTGGTTGTGGGTTTCTTTATATTTTGGACTTTAAGACTGGTATCAGAAAGCTTTCAGTGGACTGTAAGGCTGATATCAGAAAGCTTTCACTGAAATGTTAAGACTGGTACCAGAACGGACTTTTTGAAGCTTTCAGACTTATGAAATGTGATGACCAGGAGTGGTTCAATTGCAATGGGACAATTTTGACTTTACCTATGCATATAGACTCTACCAACTGTGACTTATGAATTGTTTTGTGTATGCATATATGCTTTATTAACTGTGGTGACTCAGGAACTGTTTGTGTAAAAATGGAACTGTTTGGTGTAGGTATAGAGAAATTTGTTTTTTTTCTACCCAGGCCCAAGATGAAGTTTAAAAAATTATAAAGAAAAAGGGGAGTTAATATTCCTCAGTCTCTTTAATTAAAAAAATTATTTTCTTGTCACGAGTGGATTAATGTTAACATGTTAAATGTTAATGTATCCTATGTTTTGTTAGCAAGAAATGCAAAAAGTTCTATTAAGAAATTGCTTCTGGATGTTTGCTAAAGTTTGTAAAGTGTAAATAGTCCTATTGAGAGTTTGCTTTTGGATGTAAGTTTGTAAGAATTGTAAATATGTATAGTAATATTCATGCTAGAATTACATTAATCTGTTGATATTGATGAACCATGGTTTGGTGAAGCTAAGGGGATCTTTAGGTTTGATGCAGTTTCAGGATTTTACTGATTTATTTGACACAGTTGCATCGGGAGTTTATTGATTAAAAAAGGGCATAGTGCACCTGAGGCTGCTATAGACATCTTAGACCCATTTAAAAAGGACATTCCATCTTTATCATCCTCTACTCCTTTTACTAGAAGGCATAGTAGCCAAAGGAAGCAGGAGTAGTGCTGTGGTAATTCCAGCTACTTGCAAGCTCTTAGTGGAAAAGCTGATTCAGAGCTGCATAGAGTTAAGATCTGTACCCCCATTTGAGATTTATATTATTATTAAGAATTTGTGGAAGCCCAAATTACTCAGGGTCAGAGAAGCTGAGTTTGCTTTACCCAGAAGGGCTGCATAATGGATGATTTGACCAAGGCATGGTCATCAGGTATTTGGAAGGGTCTGGGAAAAGGTGAGAGCTGGCCTCCCACAATGGTGTCTAGCATAAAACTGAATCTATGTCCTTGAGCCATGTCCCTCATCTTTGACATCAGAATAAACTCTCTCTCAATTCCCTTTGAGAGGAGAGCTTAGTTTTTTGGGTCAAATTCCAACATTTGAGGGAGGCAGAGGAGAAGGACTGTGAGTTTGAGGCTAGCCTGTTCTACATAGTGAGTTCCAGGCCAGCATGGGCTACATAGTGAGACCTTGTTTCAAAAAAGTTGGGGGTGTAGGGTCCAGGGATACAGAAATATAAAATTGTAAACCCAAATAAATAAAAAAATAAAAGCTGACAGTCATCAGCTCTAAAGGTTAATTTCTAACAATGGCTCTCTGCTTTACAGCCAGCTCCTCTGTCAACAGCCAGGGGTTAACTGTTAAGCCCCCTTATCCCTTACAGCCAACAACTGCCTGGACCAAAGTTAACTTTTAATAGATGTTTCTACGTGACTCCTAGCATGCACTGCATCCCTGATGCTTTCCCCTTCACTATAAAAAGGGGGCCAGAACCCGCCTCCATTGCCACAGCCTCAAAATACAACTCTGGCGGTGGTCTCAGCTAGCTGATAAGCTTTTGTGTCCCACGGTGATATTTTCTTGTCTTTTTTTTCCTGGTATAAAGTTTGCTTCTGGTTTAATAGACTTTGGTGGTCTGTCCCCCATTATTGCGTGACCCCACACCCAACAGGGGGTGGGGAGGGGGCACCACCAATATTGGTGTTTAACTCGTGTCTTTTCTGTTGTTATTTTTCGTTATGTTTTGTTGTTTTTTGTTTGGTTGGATTTTTTTTAAGATTTATTTATTTATTATGCATACAGTATTCTGCCTATATGTATGCCTGCAGGCCAGAAGAGGGCACCAGATCTCATTATGGATGGTTGTGAGCCACCATGTGGGTGCTGGGAATTGAACTCAGAACCTCTGGAAGAGCGTCCAATGCTCTTAACCACTGAGCCATCTCTCCAGCCCTTGTTTTGTTTTGTTTTTTTGTTTTTTTGAGACAGGGTTTCTATGTGTAGCCCTGGCTGTCCTGAAACTCACTCTGTAGACCAGGCTGGCCTCAAACTCACAGGAGACCTGCCTGCCTTTGCCTCCCAAGTGCTGGGATCAAAGGCAATCGCAACCACGCCCCGCTCTTCTTTTGATCATCTTTATTCTCAGAGATAAAAGCCGCCAGGTCCCACATACCCCGTAGCTGCTGCAAGAGGCTGCCAGGCTCAAGGTGCAGAATCTCCCGTGATGGTGGAGGGTGGGGGAGCGGGGTGGGAGCGGCCAGCAGCGGCTGGCAGGTCACTGGCATAAAGCCATGGCTTCTAGGTTCAGGAAGCTGACTTGCATCTTGACCTCGAAGTCGATGCCCTGCCAGGTCTTGACGAAGTCCTCGAAGGTGATGCCCTGGTACTGCTGGCCCTCCTCCAGCGGCTGGTCGGATGCCCTGGCTGCCTCTTTCAAGGCGCGGTGCGCGATGGAGTTGGCGATGGAGCGCACCCACGCGCTCTCCACCTGCGGGTTCGCCGACAGCAGGTCCTCCACCACCCTGCGGTACTCCTGCAGCGTGATGAGCCCGTCGCAGTCCTCGTCGTACAAGTGGAAGAGGAAGCGCATCTTCTCCCGGCGGTACGTCTCCGCCTCGTCCTTGCTCAAGTGCCTTGAGCGCAGCGGTTTGAAGTAGGCGATGATGGTCAGGAAGTCCTCGAAGCTAATCTCCTCGGCCAGACCGCTGGTCCCCTTGCCCAGGTTCCGGTTGTCGAAGAAGGCGCGGACGATCCTGGAGCGGATCGGGTTGAACTCCAGGTCCAGGACGTTGTCGAAGTTCTCGGGCCGGATGGTGGGCTGGTCTCCGCTCAGCAGCCGGAACCTCTGGTGCAGCTGCTTGATCTGGTCCCAGTTGAAGTCGCTCTGGTTCCGGAACCCCTCCTGCATCTGCCCCCACCAGAAGTCAGTCCTGCTCTCACGCTTCCACTCCTCCTCGGAGGACTGCGAGAGTCCCATGGTGCCCCGTGGGCTCCAGACAATCTCAGCTGCCCGGGGGAGGGGGCCTGGGGTCCCTGGAGGCTCTCACCTTACCGCCATTCTGATTTATTAGGTCATCAAGGCAACCTCTGTTAGGGCAGGTCCGTCACAATCCCCGAGGCCTCTTTCCTTCCCAAATCCAGTAAAACGAAGCGGATTATAATCGTCGTATACATTCTACCTTTGGTTTTCCTAGGGCCTCGCTGGGAAAGCACAAAGACGTGTGTGTCTTTCCTTTCAGAACTAAAGACGCTAGAATGGCCGCGATCCCAGAGCTCTGAAGGCAGGGGCAGGAGGACCTCCCTGAGTTTGAGGCCGGCTTGGTCTACACAGTTGAGTTGCAAGTCATTCAAGGGAAGAAGGGGAGAAAGGAAGGGAGGGGAGGAGGGAGGGAGGGAGAGAGAAATAAAGATGGAGAGAAAGTAGAGGAAAGAGAAAGAAAAATGAAGGAAGGAATACATGAAAGACGAGAGAAAATAAAGGAGAGGGTGAAGGGGGAACACACCAGAAATAACTAGACTAGTTAATATGGACAAGAATTAAGTAAGCCCCAAACAATTGTGACAATGTGCATATTTACATAACCCATGACCCCCCCCCCCAAAAAAAAAACCACCACAACCCAACAGAAGTATGGCTTTTCTAGGGTAGTTACATGTAAGTAACGTGTTAATAAACCATACATGTCTCGATAACTATACACTTGACCAGTAGAATTGGGTACTTACCTTCATAGGTAAAAGGCATATGCTGCTTGGAAGTGGAGCTTAGGATTTTGTGCCCGGGCACTGTCTTGGTTACTTTTCTATTGCTGGTAGAAAACATCAAGACCAAAAGCAACTTGGGGAGGGAAGGGTTTATTTCAACTACACTTCCACATCGTGTCCATCAGCTGTTTCTCACACTAGGACCCAAACTAATAATGGCAGCACGTGACTCCCATTTGGAACTCCGCCTTCGGGGTAGGATGTGGCCGACGATGTCTTGGAATCAGAGAAGCTGTGCTGACCCAGAGGAGACCCTCACAAGACACTTCTATTTCTGTATTACTGTTACCTAGTCAGGATAGGAGGCTCATTAGATGCCTGAGATCCCAGCAATCCCAATCCTCCTACCCACCCACACCAGCAGCTAAAGCAGGCAGGAGCTAAGGGGTCGACTGGAGAGAGGACTCCAGGAATACATTGCTTGAGAGTCGTCATCCATGCTCCTGTAAGTGACCGCTCAACCATGTTCCTGTAACTTCAACAAACTCAAGCTGGACTTGAGGGGGATTCTTTGGTCTCTTGTGGGCTCCATCTGGGGCTAATAGAAACAGACTCGCTAGAAAATCACTCTGTGCTCCCTCGGTCCTGGCCTGTCTCTAGAGACTCTGTTCAGTTTAGTTCTCTGCCTAGGAAGTGAGGTGGTAGGGCTTCAGAATGTAGTAGCATTTGTCATCCTTGCCTACACAGCAGGGTTACCAGCCCCGTGTTCAAACAACAACAGAGAAGCTGGGCTGTGATGACGCACACCTTTAATCCCAGCACTTGAGAGGCAGAAGCAGGTGAATCTGTGTGAGTTCGAGGCCAGCCTGGTCTACAGCACGAGTTCCAGGACAACCAAGAATACACAGAGAAACCCTGTGTAGAAAGGCTTCTTGATGAAATCATCAACCCGCCTGACATCATACAGTTCACACTGGCAAGAAAACCTATGAATGAATATAAGAAATTCTCAGAGGTCTTGATTGCAGGTCAAGTTTGTGCAGTATGAAAAAATCCATACTGGTAAGAAACACTATGAATGTGAGGAATGGAGAAAGCCCTTAGCTATGGTTCAAGACATGTTGACCACCAGAAAGTCCACATTAGTGAGAAACTCTATGAATACAAAGACCCGGGTTGGCTCAGTGGTAGAGCACTTGCCTAGTAAGCCCAAGGCCCTGGGTTCGGTCCTCAGCTCTAGGAAAAAAAAAAGACTGTGGGTGGGGTGGGATGGGGGGTGCTTTGGTAGTGACCCTAGCCTTATGTGACACCAGCTACTTCATACTGGTGAGAAACCCTAAAAATGTAAGGAAGGCCTTTGATTATAGACCATGTTTTGCTCAATGTGGAAGAACTCACTGGTGAGAAATGGTAGGCGTGTAAAGAATGTGAGAAAGGCTTTAGCCTTACTGGTCATCCTACTCGACCTCAGAAAACAGGTTCATACTCATGAGAAAGCCCTCACATGTGAGAAGTGTGGGAAGTCCGTGAGGTGTGGTTCAAGCCTTGTTATACACGAGAGAGCCCACACGAGTGAGAAGCTCTCTGAAGGCAAAGACCATGGGGAGGCTTTTGGTCGTGACGGTCAAGCTAGTGCTTTTTCCTCAGAGAGTTCCCAGTGCTGGGAAACCTCATCAGTGTGAGGGACGTGGAAAGAACTTTGCACGAGCTTCACACTTGGATCAACTCGAGAGAACTGATAGCAATAAACTCTGTGCACATGAAGACTCGGGCAAGGCTTTCCACAGACAGAGGAGAACATGGACACTGGGGAAACTGGTAGTAATCGACATTAGCCAGCGAGGAAGATGTTGAAGACGCCCCGTTTCCCTGGTAAATAGAGCCATCCCTCTGGTCCCTTAAGACTTAAATATAAAAAGGTATAGGTATCTGGGTTGTGATGAGGCCATTAAGGCAAATCTGCTTCTTCCTGGTCAAAATGGGATCTGAGCTGTAGCTGTGGGAAGAGACATCACATTCCAAACTACATCATGTGTGTGTGCAGGTGTGTGTGTGCACCTGCCTGTGTGTGCATGTGCCCATGTGTGCACCAGGGTGAGGGTCGGGGTGAAGTGGGGTAATTGCTCTCTTGTTAAGATAATCCAAGCCGTCTTGAATCACCAGTTCCCAAATTAAGACACAGAGACTTATTATTAGTTATGAATGCTTGGTCTTAGCTTAGGCTTGTCACAGTAGCTCTTATAACTTAATTTAACCTGTTTCTCTTCATCTACGTTTTGCCTCAGAGCCTTTTACCTTTCTTTCATGCTGTTTGTCCTACTTTCCTGCTTCCTCTGTGTCCGGCTGGCTGATGGCTGCCTGGCTGGCCGGCCCCGGGGGTGTCCATTTCTTTCTCCCTCTTTCTCTTTCTCCCCAGCCTGGATTCCTCCTCCTACTTATTCTCCTTTCCCACCAGCCCTGTCTAGCTATTGGTCGTTCAGCTTTTTATTAGACCAATCAGGTGCCTTAGGCAGGCAAGGCATAACAAATGCTGTGGGAGCCCACAACTGACTCAGTTTCCCAGTTTGAATCTGAAGTCTATTCTGAGTCAATAGAGTTCAGGCTTGTTTGCTCCAAGGCTGTGAGAAAGTCCTGATTAGCCCATGGAGTCTCCTTGAAGGGCTGTGAGAAAGTCCTGATTAGCCCACAGGAAGGAACACACTATCTAGCTAGACGCAGGCTGCTGATGCCAGCCAGAGGTACATTGAGATAGAAAATGAAACTGCCTGCTCCTTGACGCAAGGCAGGATAGATAGTGGTTGAATGTCCGCACTGTGCATTGTTCTACCTCTGTCCTTCCAGACTGTATACAAGCTGGCTGTGAAATAAACTCGGGGCTCTCCGGCACTGACTGGCAGACCTCTCGACTCTTTTCTGTCTCCTTCATTGTCTCTACAATCCGCACGCCTCTACCCAGCTACCCAGCTGACCGTCGGCAGGCTCCAACAAAATGCAACACATCTGTACATAGTTAAAGAAATGCAGCCTAAACAAATGCAACACATCTTTACACAGTTAAAGTAATATTCCACAACATATTTTTCCTTCCTGGAAGCCTCTCCCTTCAGTATTCCTGCTTGCAACAGTTTTCAAAGAACACTGTGGCCCTGCCTGGTTCTGACTCTAAAAACTGAGACTTGGCAGGTGGATCTCAGTGAGTTCGATCCAGCTTGGTCTACAGAGCGTGTTCCAGGACAGAATGAAGAAGCTTTTGCTCCTTCCTTGCTTGGAGTCCATTCCTTCAGTGGCATTAGAGCCACCCTCCTTGGGGTTCCAGTGTATCCTGACTGACCAGCTGAGACATCCTGAACAACTGCTGGATTCTTGGGCTTTCCATTGGTAGACAGCCATTATTGGACTAACCTGACCACAGCCTATAAGCCATTCTAATAAAAGAGGGGGAGAAGCTAGACCATAGGAGGAACGGTTTCGGGGGCAGAGGAGCCTCTTCAGAGTTCCTGTATAAGCCAACCTCCCCCAAGGAATCTATATAAACCAAATCTCCAGAACAAAGGAAATACCTGACTTCTACAACCTTTCAGAGGTGGCAGGAAGGTTTACGTCATGGGATTTAGTGCAGCACAGTGTATGTGATGAAGAGCCTGGAGGAGCACCATAAATAGAGAGCAGTCAAGTCACGGTCTGCTTCTTGGGCAAGGGTAAATGCAGGCTTGTATAATATTTTTTTTACTCAGTCCAGCTCAAATATCTCATTTATTGTTATCATTAATTTGTTTCTTAGTTTACATCAAGCATTTCTTTAAAAAGATGGATTTCTCTTTACCTGTTTGTTTCGGTGCTTATGCAGTGCCCATAGAGGCCAGAAGAGGGCGGCAGATCTCCTAGCACTGGAATTAAAGGTGAGATGCCATCTTGGGTAGAGGGAACCAAACTCCAAAGGTGCAAGAGTTTTTATCCGCTGAGCCACCCCTCAGGCTCCAAATTACTTTATACATCGTTTCTTCTCTTTTCCCAATACCTTGATTCTTAGAGTTTTATTGCTGTGAAGAGATACCATGACCACCGCAACTCTTATAAAGGAACATATTTCCTTGGGGCTGGCTTACAGTTCAGAGGTTACTCCATTATCTTCATGGCAGGAAGCATGGTGGTACACAGGCAGACATGGTGCTGGAGGAGGAGCTGAGAGTTTTACATCTGGATCTGCAGGCAGCAGGAAGAGCAAGTGAGCCACATTGGGCCTAGCTTGAACATTTGAGACCTCAAAGCCTA